GCTAATGTGTCATTCTTCAAGGACTACTGGGAGAACGTCATACTGGGAGAAAAGACCTCTGAATTGCCTTGGCTTCCTTAGGCGTTCCAGTGGTTATCTTGAGGCTTGTCAGGGTTCCTTAAAGGGTTGCATGGGTCATTGAGTGTTTTCAAGGGTCTTGAGGCATTTTAAGGGGAACCTGTTGGGTTTTAAATGTGGCCTAAATGGTACCACATCATTTTTTGATGGACGTTCTTGGCGAGAGAGAGTTCTTACCTGGAGATAGACCTCTGAGTTTGTAGTGATACAGTAAAGTAATTTTGAGCCCTTTTGTAATTATCACATACATCTCTCTTTAGGGTATTCAGTTCTTGTAAGGGTTTCTCTGGTCTTGATGACTCTGAGCGCGCATCGCCTAGAAACGTAAGGGTTTGCAGTAAGTTTCTGGTCTTTGTTGTTAAAGAATCCTGTGGATCTTTGGTTGGGTTCAAGCTGCTCTTTAGAAGCTCTGAATGAAAGGGCTCCAATTACACACGCTAGCTTGGGTTTCCTGGTGGTACGTTCAGGATATACTTCTAAACCAATCTCTTTGTAGTATTTTTTACTGCAGATCTGTTTTGATTTCCAAGTGCAGGATATTTGTCCTAGTCATGCTTCTTTTAACACACCCGATAAAAAAAAAAATCTCCAACAAAACTCAGCTCATTCTTGGTCCCCTATTGACTGACAGAATGTCTTAACTGTGTTAGCATGTTGGGCGCCTCCATGGGTTGGGTTCCCACTGACTTCAGCTCCACGTTAGGTTTCATATCGAATGTTTTAAAGTTCTACTGATACATTTTTAAAGCATTTAAACTGTCCTGGCTCCAAACTCTGTAATGGAATGGCTCTGTGTTTGGTTCCCAGGTCCAAGTCAAGTAGACTGGAAAGAACGCTGGCCTGCTTAAAATGCAACAGGCTACATCTTTAACCTTTTTATATAAAATCTCTTCTTTCGAAAATCCTGTTTCTGCTAAAGTCTTTTGTAAAATTATTTAATATGTTGCCAGCGTTATGAATCCCCAGTTTTGTTTCTTTATATTTTATAATTATATTATTATACCAATGTTTTAACAATTTACTTGTTGTTTTTTCATTGTCATGTTGGTTCGTTTATCAGCTTTTTTATATTCTCTTCCGTTAAAAGAGACTGTGGAAGTTTGTGAGAAAGTAAATAAATAACGTTTTATCACGTATTATGCAGAATATAATTGAAAAATAGATAATAATAATTCAATTCAAGAGTTTGTGTTGCTAATTTGACATTTTTATCCGGTTCAGGGAGGTGCTATGATTCTTAAACTATTGATAGCACATGAAACGCAGTCACGTATGGTTTTGAGTCAGATTTTGTCTATTTAACAGTAATCCTTCCATGTAACACTGCAGCCGGGAGCGGGGTGGGGGCGGGGGGGGAGCGGGGAACAAACCGTGTTTGGACACCAAAGTAAATTCATTTTCTGGCAGGGCGAGGCGAAGGGGCTTCACATGGTTCTTTACCACTCCATTCATCTGGCACTACGCGCTTCCTCGTCCCAGTTCGTGAGCACATCTGACGCTCAAACTTGATCCGAGGTTTACACCCTGTACTATCTGCTTATACACTTCACCTTCAGGAAAAATCCTTCCTTCAGGTTGACTCATTATTGACTCTAAACATGCCTAACCACGCACGACAGTCCCGAGGGTCTGTTCAGAGCTTGCCCCTCTGATCTGCGGAAGATAACAGGGCCCTACTCTTTGACTCAATAACAAGATAAAAATTATACCACTTTGGAATTTCAGCGGCACTGATCACTGTGAATCAGTCTAAAAAAGATGGACCACCGAATCCGGCCTCCAGGTCCAGTTGAGCACCAAGCAGTGTATGTTGACGAAAAACGCAAACAAGAGCCATCAGCTCTCAGGAAAAAATCTTACAATCTGAGCCAGCGTGATGTTAGCCGTCCTGTCATGGATTATCAGAATTGCATCAGTCCTGACAAACTCCATGGCATAGGCGATGAAGCAATCATACACTATAATATAGCCTTATAATTATCTATATATAAAATATTTGATTAAACAATAACACATTCTTAATTATATGGATAATTTAAACAGAAAGAATAATTTTTTTTCCATGTTCTGCATTACTGATGATCAGATATAAGGTTATACTTTTTATTTACTAACCTTTATTCAATTTGAGGTATATTTCTTCAATAATTTAACATGTTATGGTTGTTTTTACATTTATTGGCGTATGGGTTTTCTAAGCATATGATAGCTATTTGTCTGCTACTCAATGTAAAATTACTGTGTTTTATCATTTAACCCATTGTATTTTTTGCACTTATTATTTCAAAGATTTCTAAAAGCAACATAATTGTGATCCAGAACACATTTCTATTCTAGAAAGTCTATTGTGTTAATGACAAGCTTTTGCGTATTGATTATGTGGTTTGTCAAAAGCAAGTTGCAGTGCAGTATATGTATTTGTACATGAAAATCATAAGCAATAGCGACTAATATTGAAATTTAAAATAGTCGACTATGAATAGAATAAAATTGCCCTTGTTGAAACTGTAAAACGACTATTGGCGTACAATGCTTCCACCATTTTGTTTCATATTCATTATGATTATTTTCATAAGCAGTTACTTTTGAAGTATCCACAAACTTCTTCATGACATGCATCCCGAATTTACGCTCAATGCAGTATATATAAATGGGTTGTTGCAGAACAGCAACTGCCAACGTGGAGAACCACCCCACACATTGGGTCTCCCAGCAGGGCCCTCTGGGATAAAATTATTCTCTTGAACCATCAGCAGGTTGTGGATAGTGATATGGGCGTTTAAGGCAGTTGCTGTTGGTTTCTGATTTATTGTGGCCATTTGTATAATGCGACTGGCTTTTCCCCATCATGGCTTCATATTTAACAACATTTCTAATATCTCTCTCTCCTCACATCTCTCTGAGACATTAACACACACACACCACACACCACACACACAAACAGACACGCTTTGGCATATTGATGAAATATAAAACTGTAAACTAGTAACTCAAAAAGCATCTTCACAACATTTCTACTCACCAACATAGCTTCTCACTTTTGAGTGATACACATCTCACGCCAAATGATAAAAGTGTAGAGATTTCACGAAGAAAGAGGACAAAGATACGCACCCAGCTGCCCTGCCAGAGAGCCGAACCCACGCAGCAGGTCGGAGTTCTCCAGGGTGCCTGATGATCGTCAAAGAGCATGGGCAGAACTCACCAGTAATGACATGACCATGTTTACCTGAGGAAACATCATGTGTCGTTTTATGACTTCAAGACAGCTCCAATATGCGAGAGCACGTGAGGACAATGGAGGTTAGCCTATTTTTTTTTTTACCTAGTATGCAAGCCAGTCTGCTTACTTAACACTTAACCTGTGATCCCAAACCTGCTAGCGTAAATTACTAAGTTCTATAGCAGCTTTTCGATAATAGAATTGCGTTAGTTCATATATGAGTAAAGTGACCAAAAATGATGTCAACATACAAAGCTGTAGATTTTTGAAGAGAATACTTATTTCCTCCACTAAAGTCAATGCAACAAAAGGAAGAGCGCGCAAGCTCGCTATTCTTGAAACTCTGAGAATTGTGGTGCAAATGCTTTTAACCCCATATATCCATACCGCTCGTAAAACACTCGTACATTAAAGAACTTGCTTCAACAAGAGTGGTGCTTGCACTGCCACTAAATAGATTCAATACTTTTTCCCCCCTGCTGTATATCTGTCTCTTTGATTTCTCGCGCGAGTGTCTCCCATGCATCTATTTCCTCATTTTCTACCTCTCAGTTTCCCTTTACCCACAGGTGATCTCTACACAGCTCCGTTCGTCAGAGGGCCAAACACTTCTGAGAGACGGCATTCACCCATGCTAAAGACTGACGCACTACAAATAAGTAGATGATGGTATCCCATTTCCTGCTTATAAGTAGCACAAGCACCAAAGA